CAAAGAGGGAGAGTTTTATTTCTTCTTTCCCTATTTGGATCCCCTTTATGTCTGCATCTTGTCTTATTGCTGTGGCTAGGCATTCTAATACTAGATTGAAAAGGAGTGGCGAGAGTGGGCATCCTTGTCTTGTTCCTGAGTTAAGAGGAAATGGCTTTAGTTTGTTTTTGGTTTTTTTTATTGCTATTCTGATGAGAAAATTTGGGACTGATATTGCTGATAGGGCATGAAAAATATATAATCTAATAATGTTTGATTTTTTTTAATCAGTTGACTACTTTTTTTGTGTGGCAGGACTAAGGTTTGAACTTAGGGTTCCATCTTGCTAGGTAAACACTATTATTTGGGCCACATCTCTAGTCCAGTTGACTAGTCCTTTTTTCCTCTCTCTCCCTCTCTTCCTTTTCCTTTCCCTTTTCTTTTTCCTTTTCCTTCTTAACTTGCTCAACTGGCACTCTACCATTTGAGCCACACCTCCAGCCTGGCTTTTTACTGATTTGGAGATGGAATCTTACAGACTTTTCTGCCCTGGATTCAAACCAGGAACCTCTTGATCTCTGCTTTCTTTCTTTCTTTTTCTTTTTTTTTTTGTCGGTTATGGGGCTTGAACTCGGCCTGGGCTCTGTCCCTCAGCTCTTCAGGTCAGGGCGAGTGCTCTACCACTTGACACTAGCACCTGGCGTGACTGCTACTTTAGTGAGTTATTCCCTTGTGTTCACTATTATAAAACTCAACAGGAGTCAGTTTTTATGATAACAATAAAAGCAAGAAACAGCATCCAATTTACACCATTTTATTTCATGACTTGTATCATTTGCATGTGTATAAGAAATGATCTTGTATATCAGAAAGTGATCTCTGTGTATGTAAAGTGGGTGATAGAGTTCTGGAGACTAAGAAGACAAAGGATGAGGGACTGCAACTGGTGAGGGCCTTCTTTGTGGAGACTGCAGAGCCTTCAGGTAATATGGGACATCACAGAGTGGGGCTCACAAAAGATGGCCAAACTGGCTTTTTAAAATTCTATTAATTTTAATTTATTTGTTATTCTATGTCAGTAAAGGAATTTGAACTTGGGGACTCATGCTTGCTAGGCAAGTACTCTGCCACTTGAGCCAAGCTGGCTTTTTAACTAGACCCACTCCTGATAACAGATCTACACTATCATGACCCACTAATCTATGAAAGGATTGATCCATTCACAAAGGCAAAATCCTCATGACCCAATTACCTCCCAAAGGCTCCATCTCCAAATACTGCGGACATTTGGGGATTCAGGTTCTAGCACGTGATATGTGGCAAACACATTCAAATCCAGTAATGTATAACCTTGCATTCTAGATGCTCAAAACAGTTATGCTCTGTTTTTAGTGTGAAATACCTTGAAACAAATGCACATTCAGAGGGAACCTGGCCCAAGTCAGGAAATCAGAATCCCTGGGGAAGTGATGCTTGAACTGGAGTTTATGAGGTCTCATCGTACCTGATACCTTGATTTTCTTTTTGACACAGATATGAAAGTCAGCTAAGATTTAGAATGACTGTGGCTGGATAGAGTTGGCAAGGGGTTAGGAAGAACTACCAGGATATGATGTGAAGCTGAGCATGGTTAGATGAGTAGAAATACGACGTTGATTTGGGCTTAAGAGTTTGCTGGGCTGGAACAAGTGCTATAGTGTTTTATTTACTCACTGATTCATTCCGGGCACTCCTGTACTTCTATCAGGCTGTTCACTCTCTGGTGGGAGAGAAAGACACTGTGGAAGAATACCGCAGTAAGACAGAGATGTGAAAGGTTGTAAATGATAACAGCAGTGACAGACCGAATGAGAAAACCGGTCCTAAGATCCAGAGTGGGGAGTGAAGATGAGCTGGAAGGGAAGTGATTGACCAGAAAGAAACAAAGTGATTAAAGAGCTAGAAATCCAGATCCCTCAACAACTAGAAAGTAAAGGTATCATAGCACCAGCTAACTGGTGGAGGGTTGTGATCACAGAGTTGAATAAAGGCTTTTTGTCATTTCTGAGCTTTCATAATCTTGAGCAGAAACCAGTGCCAGAGGCTCGCACCAATAATCCTAGCCGCTCAAGAGGCCGAGATCTAAGGATCCAAGTTCGAAACCAGCCTGGCCAGACAAATCCGAAAGACACTTTTCTCCAATTAACCAGCAAAAAGCTAGAATTGAGGATGTGGCTCAAATGATTGAGTGCTAGCTTTAAGTGGGGAAAAAAAGAAGCAAGAGTGTGAGGACATTAGTTCAAGCACCAGCACTAGCACAAAATAAAAAGGAAAGGAAAAGCTGGAAGAGGGAGAGAATGTGTGTGAGTGTGTGCGTATCCCGGGAGGGGTAAAAGTGATAACAGCAAGGAAGTCCAAAAATTGTACAACTTCTCTCTGTCACATGCCTGATGGGCCATGTGTTCTTTCCTTAACACTTCTGCTATCGCTTCCATCTTAATAGCCCAGTTCATTAGTTCCCTATAGTTGGAAGGAATCTTCTTCCCTTTAATTACTATCTTTTGATGTCATTTCTGCCCCCCAGGAGCTATGTAGAACATACAATTCATTGTTGAATGGTTCTCTTCTTATTTATTCACTGAATTATTTCATACTAGTCAGATGTCACTTTGCTAGCTCTGGGAAATAATACAAGTATAACTTACAATGTAAGTCAGCTTATGATGGAGTTACATAAACTGATCATGAATTGAAAATATTACAATTTGAAGATGTATTCAGTGTGCTCAACCTATCACATATCATAGCTTAGCATCACAGTCCACTGTAGAGTACTGATTATTGACCCTCTTGATTGCATGAGTGACAGCTGTGGCTCTCTACAGCTGCCCAGCATCCAGATATGATGCTACAGGAACATTTTTAATTCAGAGTGCAGTCACGCCTCTCTCCACAGGGGATTGGATCCCAGATTCCCCTCCCTCTCCCCATACTAAAATCAATATATGCTCCAGTTCTTTGTATAAAATGGCATCATATTTGCATGTAATTTACATACACCTTCCAATGTATACATAGTCCTCATGATGGCTCAGTGTATGATTTTTTTAACTTCATGATAGTGTAAAATTAATGCAAAGTTGAATGAAGAAGAGAGTAGGGTATTGTGCAACCTGAACATAGGAAAGTCTGACATGTATGTATGCATGTGTGTATGTATGTATTGAGAGTGGCTGCATTAGAAGACATGACAATGGGATTATACCTGGACAGAGGTGGTCATCAGGTACAGCATCTCCAGGGTCAGAGTTGTGGTATAGTTGAGGAAATGAACACTCAAACCAATACAGAAAAAAGTGAGTCTGGGATGTAAACAGAGATCTTATTAAGTGTTACAGCAGCTTGATTTTATTTACTGTATTTTATCTTACTGTACTGAAAACCACTTAAGGAGAATAGAAATGATGACAGTAAATGTGTGTGACTGCACTAGTCCTTAGGCTTGAATTTAGGGCCTGCACACTGTCCCTGATCTTTTGTGGCTAAAGCTAGCTCTTTACCACTCGAACCACAGCTTCCCTCCCAATTTTTTGGTGGTTAATTGGAGATAGGAGTCTCATGGACTTTCTTGCCAGGGCTGACTTTGAAATGTGATCCTCAGATCTCAGCCTCCTAATGAGCCACTGATGCCTGGGACAGTTAATGTTGTTAAGAGTGGATTCGACTAGGGAAGAAGACTGGTTAGAAGATTCTTGTGGAAGTGCAGATGAGAAATGATGGTGGCTTCAAATGAATGTGGTAGAAGGAAATGAATATATTTGAGAGATATTAGGTAGGTAGACTCTGTAGGCCCCGGTGATTTGCTGGATTAGGGAAGGGGAGGATAAAAGGGGAAGAAATGAAGAATAGACCTTCTTTAGGTTTCCCACTGATCTGAAGATAGAACAAAAAATATGGAAGGAAAGATAATAAGACTGTTTTAGACACACTTAATTCAAGATCAGAACTGGTTTTCAAGCCAGTATTAACTGTTCTTCATTATAGAACTTTATTTTGTAAAAGAAGTTGATTATATATCCGTACCTATGTGCTCCGTGTAGCTCTTACAATGCTTAAAACTCCACTGGATTGTAAACTTCTCAGAAGGGATGACTTTTTATGTCGTTGGAATTCAGAATAGTGCCTGGCACAGTTAATGTTTAGTCAATATTTGGATACGTTTTACTTCATTTTGCTTCCTGATTCACATATCAGCCTTCTTGATGGTTCCTTCTGTAAGGGTAAGGCCCCATGGTGCTCTTTGCATTTTTTAAGAGTGTTGTACAGAGCCTTACTCTCTGCAAGGGTTGGCAAACTTGAGCTGTGTGTCTCTTGTTTTCTTCATTGTCATCTACCATTTAAGTACATATATTTTTGCTAATTTATAGTTAAGTACAAAGTAGTTATAATTTATAGTTTGGGTATACTTTGGTGGGTACGTAGATGGGGAGGTAAGCTTACTTTTAGACATTAAGGTTAACTTTTGGGGGAGTCTGGTCGTGGGGCCTGAACTCTGGGTCTGGGCGCTGTCCCTCAGCTCTTTAGCTCAAGGCTAGCGCTCTACCACTTGAGTCACAGCACCACTTCCGGGTTTTTTCTTTTTTGCTTATGTGGTTCTGAGGAATCAAACCCAGGGCCTCAGGCATGCAAGGCAAGTGCTCTACCACTGAGCCAACTTCCCAGCCCTAAGGTTAACTTTTGAAAGCCAATTTTTTTTTAATGTGATGAAGGCTGACTCATTTTTGTTCTTAATTTCAGATACATTTATATAATGGGAATACAAGAAAGAAACGAGAAACTGTTTTACCGAATACTACAGGATGATATTGAAAGTCTAATGCCAATTGTATACACACCCACAGTTGGTCTTGCCTGTTCCCAGTATGGGCACATCTTTAGAAGACCTAAGTAAGGCTTATTAAAAATATATACATATATATGTATAAATACATAAATATATGAATGTGTAAGAACAATAATTCGGTAGCACCTAGATTTTTCTGGGTTAATAGTTTTATCTCAGCTATATATATTTTACAAAAGCTTAATGTGGGTTAAAAGAGATTGATAAAAACCCTGTATGTTCATATCTTTTATTTTTGTGCAAGCAACACAATTCAAAAAAAGTTTTACAAATTAGAAAAAAAGTAGCAGTTTATGCCTATTCTTCTTTAAGAAATTGTGTCTTTTTTTAATATCTTTACTTTCCCCACAAAAGGATCTTAATTCTGGTGGCAGATTTCCCATCATTATCCTTAAGATCTTTTATCTGAGCCAATCCTGGGGCTTGAACTTAAGGCCTAGGCACTGTCCCTGAGATTTTGTGCTCAAGGGTAGCTTTCTATCACTTGAGTCACAGCTCCACTCCAGCTGGACTAGACTTTTTTTTTAAAAGCTCATCAGATGATTATGTACCCTGAGAACAACTGCTGAGACAATACTGATTTGGGCTACAGTAATGATGCCACAGTTCAGATGCCACTGAACAAAGTAAATACAAGGATTAGTTCAGAAGCGGTGGAGTCCACGGGGACCATTGCTGCCTGACAACTCTGGATCCTACGTTTTCTCTCTGCCCTTCTTTTTCTTCCTCTTCCTCTGCCCTTTTTGAAATCTAGATGATCTCAGGACAGTATGCTATGTTTTAACTTTCCTTACCTGTCCTTAACAATGTATACTTAAAAACAGTGTGTTAAAGATGATAAACATATACTTTTGATTTGTTAAATTGTAATAGTAATAAATTTAAACAATTTTTTACTTCTTCCTGATGCTTCAACTATGTCATCTTTTTCACTTTTCAGTTTCAGTGAGTTTTAGTAGTAGTTTGCTTGGCAATATTCTGCTTCCTTATATTTGGTGGTCTGCCTTTATTATTTTTTACTGGAAGAGTATTAAGTTTATTTGTCCATGTGATACGGATACAATGATTCCATCATTTAATAATAGTCTTTGTTTTAGCTACTATGTAAACAATATAATTACAATTTGAAGTAGTTGAAAAGTGTTGGAAACAAAGCAGTGTGACATAGTTAAATCTGTTTGGGAAATATACTATGTCTTGTTTTATTAAAATATCTAAGAATTCCAGTTATGGACAAGAACTTAGAAACAAACAAAACTGTCATGAAATGCAAAGGTGTTTTTGTTCTGTTGCAGGGGATTATTTATTTCAATCTCAGACAGAGGTCATGTTAGATCAATTGTGGATAACTGGCCAGAAAATCATGTTAAGGTACTAATAGCACAACCCTCCTTTTCACAATGTTTTCTTTGTCCTTGTAAGTTACCTCTAAATATCCAAGAACAGCTTTTCATTGTTGCTCTGATATATGCACTTGTACATGCAGACTTATGCTTTGTGACAGGCAGAGATGGGTAATAGTAATAGTTGTAAAATGTTTTACTGGTGTTTGATGTCACTCTAAGAATAAAATTGAAGCTTTTCAAAAGGCGAACCTGAACAGTCACTAACACTCCAGTATCCTGCTCCTGTCTCACTAATTACTTTAGGTAAAGAAAAATAGATTAAAATGCCATGAAAACTGTTATTCTGCAATAAATACTTTTTAAAGCAAGAGTTAAATGTAGCAATATAAAACCCCTGGTTAATATGACTGTTTTTCATGGAGTAAAATATAATAGCGTACTTCAAGATCTTTGGTGGGGTACTGGTGGCGCATGCCTATAATCGTAGCTGCTCAGAAAACAGATCTGAGAATCTGCCTAGTTCGAATTCTGTCCAAGCAGATAAATCCAAGACTTTTATCTTCAATTAACCAGCAAAAAGCTGAACGTGGAAGTGTGGCCTAAGTTGTAGAGTGACAGTCTTAAGCAAAATTAGCTAAGGGAAAGAAAGGCCAAGTCCCAGTACCAGTGCACGTGCGCACGTGTACACACACACACACACTTTTTGTGTTTTTTATGGGCTTTTGTGTTTATTATAGGCAGTAATCTTACTTGCTTTTATTGCCTCTGCCTTCCTTACCAAGTAGATACAGATGGAGAATCATTAGTTCAGATAATCTAGAAAAAATTGATAAGATAAATGAACTCAGGGTATTGTCTTAAATTTTTATATGTAGGTATGTAGTTTTTAATCCTACATCTTTTTTTCCTTTACTCTTAATAGTGCTTTTCTTATTTGTGTTGTTATTATATTGTTGTAGGACACTATTAGTTTCTAAACTTAATTTTTTATTATGGTAATCTCTTCTTTGAGAGAATTTTGTTCACTTCTCTCATATTAATCTTCCTGAAAGTATTTGGTATTTAAATATTGATCCTTCAGTCAGAATCATCCTGTTTACAAGCCAAAGCCAGGGAAGTCAAATTTAGTTAATACCACCTCCTCTTCATCCCCATACTCTGGAGAGCTTTATATGCAGATGCTCTGCCACTTGAGCCATGCCTCCAGTCCTATTTTGCTTTTGGTTATATTTTGAGATAGGGATTCATATTTATGTCTGGGGGCCTGGACTATATTCCTATTTATGCTTCCCATGCAGTTGGGGTGACAGGCATGCTCCACCACATCCAGCTTTTTGTTGGTTGAGATGGAGTCTTGAAAACCTTTTACCTTTGGAGCAAGGAATGTGACTTAGTGAGTATGCACAATGCATTCCTCAGTACCACATAAATAAAAAATAAATCCAATTAATAAGAGAAAATAAAATTAAAAAGAAATCTTTTACCCAAGCTGGCTTCAGACCACAATTCTCCATCTCTACTTCCCTAGTAGTTAGGATTACAGGTGTGAGCCATTGCATTTAGCATAACTTTTTTAAATTAATATATCAAAATAGGCAGATATCCTAGATTAAGTGTGCTTCATAGGTTTACATTGGAAGTTAACTGAGAACTATTTTTTAAAGTGAGAGTGAAAATACATGAAAAAAATAAAAATGCATTTCTTTAATGCCTCATTATTGAGTAAATGTAATTTGCTGTGTTTTATTTTGTCTTATTTGTAATTAAGGCTGTTGTGGTGACTGATGGCGAGAGAATTCTGGGTCTTGGAGATTTGGGTGTCTATGGAATGGGAATTCCAGTAGGAAAGCTTTGCCTCTATACCGCTTGTGCAGGAATACGTCCTGAGAGGTGCTTGCCTGTTTGTATTGACGTGGGGACTGACAACAAAGTGAGTCATACATATCTTTGATCTTCCTCTTGGAATTCTTAAAAATTACATTCTAGCTGGGTGCTGGTGACTCATGACTGTATTCCTAACTCCTCTCATCAGTCTGAGGTCTAATCATCACAGTTTAGAGCCCAAATAGAAGTCTATGAGACTCTCTATTTCTAATTAACCTGTAAAAAGCCAGGAGTAGAACTGTGATTTAAATAGTAGAGTACCAGCTCTGAGTAAATAAGCCAAGCAAGAGTGTGAGGCCCTCAGTTCAAGTCCAGAACACACACCAATATTCATACAAACAATAGAAAATTAAGCTATTTGTACTTTCTAGAAGGATTACAAGTTTTGTATGTTTAATAATGTAATAAAATGTTTTCTTTTTCTTTTTCTTTCTTTTTTTTTGGGGGGGGGGTCTGGTCATGGGGCCTGAACTCTGGGCCTGGGCGCTGTCCCTCAGCTCTTCAGCTCAAGGCTAGTGCTCTACCACTTGAGCCACAGCACCACTTCTGGCTTTTTTTTCTTTTTGCTTATGTGGTGCTGAGGAATCGAACCCAGGGCCTCATGCATGCAAGGCAAGTGCTCTACCACTGAGCCACATTCCCAGCCCCTAAAATGTTTTATTTTCCACTGGTTTCTTTTATAGGCACTATTAAAAGATCCATTTTACATGGGCTTATATCAGAAACGAGATCGTTCGCAGCTTTATGATGATCTGATTGATGAGTTTATGAAAGCAATTACTGATAGGTAAGTTTAAAAGTTGTAAGTATGTCATAAAAATAAAGGCACCTTTAACTGGGGAGAGGGTCTGTAATTTGTTTTATATTTCTTTATGTCCTATAGAAGATAAGCAGATCAAGATTCAAAATTTAAGGACTTGGATTTTTAACTATTCAATGAGATGGGCCAGTAGTCCATGGTAGTTCTGTTCTGCCTTGCCTTCTACAGTTGTTTCAGACATCTGAAGAGCCTACACTCACCTCTCCTGGCAGACCCTCACATCTCCATCCTTGTTGGCCTAGGACTACTAGTTGAGCCCACCACTCTTCAGAAGCTCTCCTGCATTTTTGTGTTGTAAATTCTCAGACCGTTTAGTGCTCCTTTCTACCTCTTTGTAGTGTCCAACCAGTTTATCTTGCCTCCTGTGTTCTCACTTTTTCCCCTTGACTACTAGAAAATCTTTACTTGCTCTTCTTTCTCTTTTCTTCTGCCATTTTCACTGGCTTTTCTTGCTCTTTTTCATTCAGACTGGATGAATACATAGTCTTGTTTTTGAGCTATGTAAACTGAATATCTTGCTAGGGATTAAATCCCAGGGCTGCATACTTGCTAGGCAAGAGCTATATGCCTGAACTGCAAACACACACACCCACCCACACACACACACACACACACACACACGACACATAGTTGTTAGGACCTCTAGACATGGGACTTTCAAACCCATGTCAACTCACTTCCATGGTTCTGCATCTCTTAACAGCTGGAATCTTCAGTTGAGATATTCTGTTGCTACTCCATTTTCATGTCTTTTTTTAAATATATATTTTTATATTTTTTATTGTAAAGATACTTACAGTGTGGTTACAGTTATATGAGTAAGGTAATGAGTACATTTCCTATCGAGCATTGTTACCCCTCCTTTCTTTTTTCCCTACCATAACCTTCCCTTCCACCTCCCCAACTTCTGCCTCCCCCCCCCGCCCAGTTGTAAAGTTCGTTTTCAACATAGTGTCTTGTATATATCATTGTTAAAATAGGTCCACCTATATTCTTGTTTCAGCATTTTGTCATTTCCCTTCCCCTCCCCAAATTAGAAAAATGTATATACAAGGTGCCGGGTACCAGAATCAAAAGATTCCACATAGAGCTCCCCTGTAACCCAGCAATCCCATGTTGGGGCATTTACCCAAACGATCATAAACAAGGCTATACTAAAGCTACCAGCACAACTATTTTTATCACAGCATTATTCATCATAGCCAAGATATGGAACCAACCTAGATGCCCATCAGTAGATGAATTGATCAAGAAAATATGATATATAGAATAACACTGCCCCATTTGTTAGGAAATGGAAAGACTTAGAAAAAAATTATATTAAGTGAAGTAAGCCAGGCCCAAAGAAACATAGGTCCCATGGTTTCCCTTATTTGCAATAACTAGTATACATCTAGGACAAGCAGAAAAGGTCAAAAGCTATGTATATATGACCATATAAGATGATGCTAAGTGAAATGAACCCCAAGATAGGGACACATGAGGTTTTATCTTTGTTGCTGTTGTTTTTAATGTACTATGTGATTTTTGTTCTTTTTGTTACTTTTGTATGTTCTTCCCCCACAGTATAACGCCTGTTTTCACTATATTTGAGTCTGGTGCCCTACATCTTATATATACATTTTCATGTCTTAAACTGGATCCTTCCCCTTTCCAAACAGCCTACTTCTATATTCCCCACCACTGTCAATAGTGCTTATATTCACCCTATAGACAAACTTTTGATATTGGTGCTGTCTTTGACTCTTCTCCACCAACCACACATGTATTCAGAGATTGCTCAAATCTAGTTGGCACTATCCATTTCTTTGCAAATGATGTCATATTCTTTCTAATGGATGGGTAAAATTTCATTATACAGGGCTGGGAAGGTGGCTCAGTGGTAGAGCACTTGCCTTGCATGCCTGAGACCCTGGGTTTGATTCCTCAGCACCACATAAGCAAAAAGAAAAAAGCCAGAAGTGGCGCTGTGGCTCAAGTGGTAGAGTGCTATCCTTGAGCTGAAGAGCTGAGGGACAGCGCCCAGGCCCAGAGTTCAAGCCCCACGACTGGACCCAAAAAAAAAATTTCATTATATATAAATATAATATATATATATATATATATATATACATGTATACATACCACATTTTTTTTGGTCCATTCATCCAGTAAGGAGCATTTGGGCTATCCATATTTTGGTTATAGGGAAGAGTACAGCAATGAGCATGGTTGTGCAAATGTGTAAATAGCTTTACTATATCCTGGATTTGTAATCTTTTGGATAAATGGTATTGCTGGATCACTGGGTAGTTCTGTGTTTAGTTTTCTTTTTTTTTGTTGTTTTTTTTTGTCGGTCGTGGGGCTTGAACTCTGGGCCTGGGCGCTGTCCTTCAGCTCTTCCGCTCAAGGCGAGCGCTCTACCACTTGAGCTACAGCACCACTTCCGGTTTTCTGGTGGTTTATTGGAGATAGGAGTCTCACGGTCTCTCCTGCCCGGGCTGGCTTTGAGCGATCCTCAGATCTCAGCCTCCTGAGTAGCTAGGATTACAGGCGTGAGCCACCAGCGCCGGGCTTGTGTTTAGTTTTCTTTAGAAATCTTCAAGCTGTTTTCCACAGTGGTTGTATCAGTTCACATTCCCACCAGCAGTGTATTAGGGCTCTTTTTCTCCCACGTCTGTCCCAGCCTCTGTTGTCATTTGTATTCTTGATGATGGCCATCCTGACTGAGATGAGATGGAATCTCAGTGGTTTTTTCTTTTTTAACTTTTTATTGTTACTATAAAGGTGATATACAGTGGGGTTATGGAACAATATCACCCCTTCCCTTGTTCTCTCCCAGTTTTTCCCTTCCATCCCTACCCACAAACAGTGTTGTTTTTGTTTGTGTTTCCTTTATGGCCAGAGATGTTGAGCATTTTTTCATGTGTCTATTCTATTGGTCAGTTTTACTTCATCCTCTTAAGAAGTCTCTCTTTAACTTGTTGCCCACTTATGGGTGGAGACTGGAAGGCCAACATGGACAGAAAAGTTGATGACACCCCATGTCCTTGGAAGGAAACTGGCTGTGGGGCACATGCCTGTAATTCCAGCCACAAAAGAAGCCTCCATAGGCACATTGTGGATCAGACATAAACCTGGGAGCCTGGATGGGAAACTAGATTCTGTCTAAAACTAATGATAGTGAAAAACAGAGCTAAAGGTGTGGCTCAGCAGAATCTAGCCAGCCTAGAAAACAAGTCTCTGAATCAAACTCTAGTTCTCCCACAAGAAAGGAAAAGGAAGGAGGGAGAGGAAGGAAGGAAAGTATGTGAAGAGGAGGGATTGGAAGAGAGAGAGAGAGAAGAAAGAACATATTAGACAGAAAATCTGTTCAACAGTGGTATTTTCAATACTTACCATTATGAGTTTTCTTGTTTTTAGATATGGACGGAACATACTCATTCAGTTTGAAGACTTTGGAAATCACAATGCATTCAGGTTCTTAAGAAAATATCGAGAAAAATATTGTACCTTCAATGATGATATTCAAGGTAAAAAAGGGAAGCTAAGTTCTGATTCTCACATTTTAAACATTTATAATATACGTTAAAAAATTAAATTTGTTTTTCATTATAGGGACAGCTGCAGTTGCTCTAGCAGGTCTTCTTGCAGCCCAAAAAGTTATCAATAAGCCAATCTCAGAGCATAAAATCCTATTTCTTGGAGCAGGAGAGGTGAGTGTTGTAAGCTTGTTAAAACTTAAAACTAATGTTCTTCAGAATTGATGTTTATAATAAAGAAGTTGGGGGTATGAATTCAGTACCTCTTTTTCATTTTGTTGGGTTTTTGTCTTGTGCTGATACAGGGCATGAATTCATCAGCTGCATGCTGTTCCTTAGCTTTTTGGCCCATTGCTAATACTCTACCACCTGAGCCACAGCTTCCACTTCCACCTTTTTTGGGGGGAAAGTGACTAATTGGAGATAAGAGTCTCATGGATAGTGGAGCTGTAGTTCACATGGTAGAGCACTGTCCTGAGCAGTAAAGCTCACAAAGATTCTCAGGGCTGGCTTTGAACCATGATCCTCAGCTCTCAGCCTCCTGAGGAGCTAGGATTACAGATGTGAGCCACCAATGCCAGACTTCAGCACCTTTTACAAAATATGTAATTTAAAATGTTTAGAGAGAATAATCATGACTTAATTTTTATGTATTTTATAAAGAAGAATAAACCAAATATTACTTAATCTTTTTTTTTTTTTTTTTTGCCTGTCGTGGGGTTTGAAATCAGTACCTGGGCACTGTCTCTGAGCTTCTTTTGTGCAAAGTTAGCACTGTACCATTTGCCATAGTGCCACTTCCGCTTTTTTTTTTCCTCTGTTTTATGTGGTACTGAGGAATCAAACCCAGGGCCTCATGCATGTAAGGCAAGCACTGTACCACTAAGCCACATTCTCAGCCCTCTAATCTTTCATATATAAATTAATCAAGCATTTACATTGGATGCTAGTCTTTTGTTTTTAACCCTATGTTTTGTTGGGCAGGCTGCTCTTGGAATTGCAAATCTGATCGTAATGTCAATGGTGGAAAATGGCCTCTCCGAAGAAGAGGCACAAAAGAAAATCTGGATGTTTGACAAGAGTGGTCTATTGGTTAAGGTAAAGTTCCAGACTTAAAAACTCATAAGAGTATCGTTCTGATATTTTAGTTGGATTTTTTAAAATATTACTATTTCTTCAAATCATGTATCTCACTAGACTATCCAAACTGCACGTGCATACTCTGTGGACCTTCCACTGCATTCCTGACACAGATCCTCAAGTCTCATTGTCTTTCATAAGGACTCTTGTTTCATATGCAAATCATATCATCTGTGTTGGCAGAAGACTTAATCATTCTTGCTTTGTCCCCAGGTTCTGTGTGTGTATGTGCACGTGCATGTGTGATGGTGGGTGAGACAAAAGTGCCCAGCTTGTCCTCTAGCTCTTAAGAAAACAAAGATGAAAAATCTTCAGGCTTAAAGTTTAAAGTAACATGATTTAAAGTAACAGTAGGTTGAAATGTGCCAGACATTGTAGTATGACTTTACATGTATTATATATGATTGTATTTGGCTGCTCTAAAACTAAATTGCATGTGAAGATAATGATTGAGTTTCAGCCCAAGGCCTTGTACATGTACATGTGTGCTAGGCATGAGCTCTACTTCTTAGTTATTCACCGAGTCCTCAAGGAACATAGAACATCTTACTTAGTGTTCCAGCTAACAGTTGGGCAGGAATTATTGAAGGGTTTTGGCAGGTGGGGGGAGGGGAGGAATGGGCGGTCTTGGGGCTTGAACTGTGGGCCTGGGCGCTGTCCTGGTCTTTTCTCCTCAAGGCACTCATCACTTGAGCCACAGGTCCACTCCTGCCTTTTTTTTTTGGGGGGGGAGGTCCGGTCGTGGGGCCTGAACTCTGGGCCTGGGTGCTGTCCCTCAGCTCTTCAGCTCAAGGCTAGCGCTCTACCTTGAGCCACAGTGCCACTTCTGGCTTTTTTCCTTTTTTGCTTATGTGGTGCTGGGGAATCAAACCCAGGGCCTCAGGCCTGCAAGGCAAGCACTCTACCACTGAGCCACTTTCCCAGCCCGACTCCTGGCTTTTTGAGATTAATTGGAGATAAGAGTCTTCACGGACTTTCATAGCCTGGCTGGCTTCAAACTGATCCTCAGATCTCAGCCTCCTGAGTAGCTAAGATTACAGACATAAGCCAGTTCCTGGCTTTTGAGCAGAAATTACTGAACACTTTGGGCATCATAATCCCCTATAGCAATAGAATAAAACTCAGTACACACTCTCCCAGAAAGTAAGGCATGTATTCCTGAAATCAGTTCATGGGTAGTAAAGAACTCTCCCCATCAATTACCTCACCACCTTTTATTAGCTTTTTTTTTTTGTCATGAGTCTTGAACTCGGGGCCTTAGGACTGGTCTTGAGCACTTTTCTACACAAGACCAGTGCTCTACCACTATGAGCCACAGTTCTACTTCAGGTTTTCTGGTGGTTAACTGTATATAAGAGTCTCACAGACTTTCCTGCCTAAGATGGCTTTGAACCATGATCCTCAGATCTCAGCCTCCTGAGTAGCTAGGATTATAGGCATGCCACTGCCCAGCTTATTGGCTTATTTTTTAAAGGTAAACAAAACAACTTTATTTGAAAGTGGAAGGAAAATAGAATGAAAATAGAAAAACCTTTACTTGGAGAGGGGACTAGAGAGGAGTCCCTAGATTATTTTCATTAGCTTGAACCTCATACTGGGTGACATACTGAAATAAAACTGTTTGAGAGTTTGGACTGTCCAGTACACAAAGTTCTATTTTCACTTGTCCACATTATAATGACCCTAGTGTTACTTGCCATTCATATTACAAAGCAAGCTATCTCAGTGTACTTTGGGCCAGTGCTGAAATTTCTTCTTCATCACTCCCAGTAATCTATTAAAACAAGAAACAAAGAAATCATAGTATACAAATGATGAAACTTGAGACTTAAATTACTCATAATTGGAAGTAACAGTAGTTTGAAGTATACAGGTCAAGGACTTTATATGCATTTTCTCCATGAGTCCTTCTGAAAATCCTGGAGCTTTGTTTGTTTGCTGGCTTGCTTCCTGTGAAGCTTAGCAGCAGTCATAGAAACTGAATTTGAAAATGGTCAGGAACTTTTCCAAAGTGATCAGCTGGTATGCAATGGAGATAGAATTCAAATGGCAGTCTTCCTTTTGAATCTTGCTCTCTAACCCCCTGAAAATGCTGTTTTCCAGGGCAGCTGTGGCTTCCAAACTTGCTGGTGTATAAAATGTTAACATTTGAAGGGTATACCAGTAGCTCATGCCTGTAATCCTGAGATTACTGAGTAACTGAGATCTGAGCATCATGGTTCAAAGCCAGCCTGGATAGGAAAGTCGTGAGACTTTTATCACCAAAAAAGTTAACCATCAAAAAGCTGCATGTGGAATTGTGGCTCAAATGATAGCAAAAGGAAATCCTAGGGACAGTGCCCAGGCCCTCAGTTTTAGCCCCAGGATTAGCACCAAAACGAGAAGATTTTAAGGCCTCACGTTTAAAGGAAGTTGTTAGAGGAAGAGGTATTTATTAGTATGCAGTTTCATGCTTCATTCTGCCATGGTAGGTTTCATGAAATGTCTTGCAGTCTTCATTGTAATGTAGAATGAATGCAGTATTGGTAACTACAGTGGGTTTCTCTGGTACTAGTGGGAGGAGTCTCTGTTCATCTGTAGGTTTAGAGTTTGTATTTCCTTTGGGATGTGCAAGTACCTTGACCTGTGGGCTTGGCTTCTCATCCCTGCTGATGGTCCTGATCACTGCCAACCATTTTGAGACTTGGAGTATTTTCCGTTAAGTCTCCATGTAGAGACGTTTTGGTAATCCTGGGGCAGGCCAAAGAGGCCAGTGTTTGGGTCACTGGATCCTTTGAGGTTGTATTTAAGCCTTTAATTAACTTCTCAGCCAAGTAGTCATGGTCTGCTGTTTTCCCAGCATTTTCTCGTTCTGAGGATATTTGGAGTTCTGGTTGAAAAGTTCACATTTAAGGGGAGCTTTTCTTTGACTGTAGTAAGGATGATGGGTTTCTCATTCTGAATTCCTGCCCCCACCCCATCCCCCTACCCCCGTGGATTTTTTTTCTGCTTTAAATCTTTGAAAATTTTTTCATTGTTTTAGCCTGATGGTGCTTTTGTTTTAAAGCTGGGATTTAGGTAGAAAGGCACTACTTTTTAATTTAGCCATCTGGTGCCAGAATGCTCTGTTCCTATTTCTATAAACTCTTGGCAGTAGAACTCCAGGATATCTATCTGAAGCTCTGAAATCCCAAAGGATTTTTCCTGAAATTCATTTGGTGACAGATCTAATTGACCTGAATTTATCTGGTAGAAAAATGTGATCCAAGCTACTGAGAGGCCTTACTTTAGAAAAAGTAGAGAAGCTAGAGAAGTATGCCAGTGGTAGAGCTTTCACCTAGTACACACAAGGCCCAGGGTTCAATCTTCAACACAGAGCTGCAGTCAGCCAGCCAACCCACTTACCCGCTTCACTTCAGAAGTTCGTTCATCCATTTGGCAGAAAGTGATTGTATATTTGTTATATTACCATTTGCTTTTCTAAAATGCGTGTGTCTTTTCACTTAATCTTTAAGATGTACTTATTATAAAATACTGTTTTTTGTTTAATTCAAAAACTTTAGGGGCGAAGTGCTAACATAGATCCCCATCAGGAACCATTCGTTCACCCAGTCCCAGAGTACGTCCCTGATACTTTTGAAGATGCAGTAAATGTACTGAAACCTTCAGCTATAATTGGTAAGTAAAGTTGTTGATAAGTAACACTGTTGCTAATTCTGTTACTGGTTATAACTGCTATATAGGATAAATAAAAATCAATTGACATTTCACCTAGCCTTTGGCACATACAGTTGTCTCTTAGTGTTTGTGAGGGCTTGTTCCAGGGCCTACTGCAGATTCCAAAGCCTGATCTTGAATGGTGCAGTATCTGCACACAATCTCTGCACTCGCCCTCACGTGTCATTTATCTCTAGATTACTTATCATACTTTATTCAATGTAACTGCTCTGCAAATAGCTGTTGGACCGTATTGCTTAGGAAAAGTGACAAGAAAAGGTCTGCACATGGTGTTACAGACAGTTTTTCTTCTCCAGTATTCCACATATGTAGAACCCCATGGATACAGAGAACTGACATTGTATTGTGTGTGTGAGAGAGAGAGAGAGAGAGATTTTGTTGCCATACATGAAAACTCCTTTTTAAAAGATGTCATTTGCTGGGCACCTTTGGCTCATGCCTGTAATCCTAGCTACTCAGGAAGCTGAGAGCTGAGGATTATGGTTCAAAGCCAGCCCAGGCAGGAAAATCTGCAAGACTCTTATCTCCAATAAACTACTCAGAAAAATCTGCAAGTGCTGCTGTGGCTCAAAGCTCAGAGATAGCACCCAGGATCAGAGTTCAAGCCCCAAGACTGAGTAGGGGGAAGAAAGAAAATAATATTTATACTTTTAAGTGTTAAAAGCTATATAGTTAACCATGAGTTGCATGTATATTCTCTCTTTATCTCTTAAAGAGATAACCCAGCACTCAGGAGACTGAGGCAAGAGGATTATGAGTTCCAGGCCAACCTGAGTTACATAATGAAGCCCTGCATTGAGAAAATAGGGGAGAGTGAGGATTGAAGAGTGTCTCGTTATGTTGCTCAGACTGGCCTCTACATCCTGGGCTTAAGTGATCCACTGCCTCAGCTTCCCAGGTAGCTAGGATTATGGATATATACATGTTTTCCCACTTCTCCTGCTGCTTTGGTTTTAAAGTTATTATGACTGTCAGGCTTAAAAATCTTAAACAGACCAAGATTATTTGTCCTAACTTACCATGAAAATACAGTGCAGTGTCAGATTTGTGTTTGTGACAGAACTTGAAAACATTCAGTGTGTTTTGAGATAGGAATGGAATTGTTGGCTTTGGACTCTTATCAACATAACACTGAAGTTCTCAGCAGCAAAAGATATGGTTATTTGATTTCCTGGGTTAGCTATAAGTTTGACTGGACAATCTTGCTTATGATTTTAATGCTTTTTATGGAGGAGCCATGCTGAACATCAAACAGTAATACACAGTCATCAACAATAAGTTCCTGACATTGGGAAAAGTTTCTTCACTAAAAAGGACACTTGCATTGTATAGTGAGAAGACATCTAACAGTCCTCTAGTCACATTCCTCTCAAAACTCAATGTGGAAACCCATAAATCTAGTCATTGTTTCTGCAGGGTCAAGAAAATGAAAAGAAAAATTTTGGGGGAAAAAAGTGCTCAGTTAAGGCCTAAGTGTTTTTCCTTTCTGCTTCCACTTCCTGTGTGCCCTTATCAGAGCACTTGTTGAAGGTTCTTTGATTTTTCTGTTGCTTTAAAAAACAAACTATAATCTGCCTGTATTATTTTCTTTAGGGGAGTAGTATTGGGGTTTGAACTCAGAGCCTTGTGCTTGCAAAGTAGTCTACCACCGAAGTCATGTCCCAGTCCTTTTTTGTTGTAATTAATATTCAAGTAGTGCTTTGTGTTTTGCTTCAGCTGGCCTTAGGCCAGACCATTATATCCCTACCTATGGCCTCACATGTAGCTGGGATCACAGATGTGCATCACCAGGCCCAGCTTATTAATTGAGGTGGGGTTAAGACTGATATTTTGCCTAGACTGGCCTTGAGCCATGATCCTCCTGGTCTTGGACTCTGGAGTAAATAAGTTTATTCGTATGACCGATTCACCCAGCTTCATTATATTCACTTGTATCCTCAGGGTTTGGTATTGTGACTCAGACTTATAGGGAATTGCTAAAAGGTAAACACAACTGTATCAGAAATTGATTACTCGAGATGATCTTTTGTCTCTTCTAAATGTTATTTTGTAATGAGTGCTACAGAATTTAACAGTTTTAAGATGTTGAAACCTGTAATGCTAGTGGCTCATGACTGTAATCCTAGCTATTTAAGGAGGCTGAGATCTGAGGATTACAGTTTAAAGCCAGCCTGGTAGCAAAGTCTTTAAGATTTATTCCAATTAACCACCAAAAATCCCAAAGTGGAGCCGTCCCGCTCAAGTGGTAGAGCACTATCTTTAAACAAAAAAGCTAAGGGGCAGAGCCCAGGCTGAGTTTAAGCCCCAGTGTTGATACACACAACAAAGAAAAAAAGATTTTAAGACATTTTATTTTTATCTTCTGTTTTAAAATAACACAAATTTTGTCATTCTAACCTTTCTTAAATGTGTTGTTCAGCAGTGTTAAGTATGTTCCCACTGTTGGACAGCCAGTCTCCAGAACTCTTTGCATCTTATAAACATGTACTTCTATACTCATTAGACAGTAATTGCATGTCCCAGCCGCACCAGCCACCATCGCTTTCTTCCTCTGAGAATATGACAGTTCTTGGTACTTCCGATAAGTGGACCATTTTCCTTGGCTCAATGTCCTAAAGGCTCATGCATATTGTGACAGGTTTTATCCAGAGAAAATGAGGGAAATAATCTAATCCTCTTTTTCCTTTAAATTTCCCTTGATATACTGTGTGTGTGGTACCCAGATATCTAAGTGAACATTTTAGTATTTCATTGCTTTTCTTTTTAGATTTTTGATTGTTTTCCCATAGTATTCACTCCAATTTTGTATTCAAAAATCTATTTATTTTATTTTTTGTCAGTTGGGGCCTGGACACTGTCCTACAGCTCTTCAGCTCAAGGCTAGTGCCCTACCCCTTGAGCCACAGTGCCACTTCCGGCTTTTGTGGTACTGAGGAATTGAATCGAGGGCTTCATGCATGTGAGGCAAACACTCTACCACTGAGCCAACTTCCCAGCCCTCAAAAATCTATCTTTTATGATGAGAGTTTCTATGGTTTTGTAATGGTGAAGGTATTGTAGAAATGTTGTTGGTAAGAATTGCTTTCTTACACTTGTGCTGAGCTTGATTTTTCCTATATGTTACAGGAGTTGCAGGTGCTGGCAGGCTTTTTACTCCTGAGGTAATCAAAGCCATGGCATCTATTAATGAAAGACCTGTAATATTTGCATTAAGTAATCCTACCACTAAGGCTGAGTGCACACCTGAAGAGGCCTATACACTTACAGAGGTATTAGTCAATGATAATCATGTGACTCATTGAATCTGTTATTTTCTATTAGATTATTACTTACACATTCTTGCACTTAGTGGTTTTGCTAGAGATTGCCATATGCATCCTTGGGTCACCAAAGTCTGATATTGATTGCTTGAACTGGTTCTGGAAAGCTGCTACTTTACAACTCCATCTTCATGCCCCCAGGCTGTCTGTATTACTGTTGCTTCTCTGTGTGTTTTAAAGTCAAAAGACACTTATTTTTATAGAGAAAATTTTCATTTAGACTCACCTACATTTAAATCTCTTGATATATATTCCTTCTATCTATGTCTCTAAGATCATTTTCCTCCTACAAGTTCCTACCAGAACTTCTTAAGTCTGAATTCTCCTGAATTTTTTCTTTTTTTTTTTTGTCGGTCGTGGGGCTTGAACTCTGGGCCTGGGCGCTGTACCTCAGCTCTTCAGCTCAAGGCGAGCGCTCTACCACTTGAGCTACAGCGCCATCTCCGGTTTTCTGGTGGTTTATTGGAGATAGGAGTCTCACGGTCTCTCCTGCCCAGGCTGGCTTTGAACCACGATCCTCAGATCTCAGCCTCCTGAGTAGCTAGGATTACAGGCGTGAGCCACCAGCGCCCGGCCTCCTGAATTTTTTCTTATTTTACCTTCACTTCAAAGTATATTTTCACTTTGCTTAGAAGTAAAATTTGGCAGATACTTTGGGGGGTTTTTTTGTTGTTTTTTTTGTTTTTACATCTTTATTAGTTTTTAATATATTTTTATTGTGAAAATACTGTACAGAGGGGTTACAATTACATGGGAAAGATAATGAGCACATTTCTTATCAAGCATTGTAGCCTCCTGCTTTGTTTCCCCTTCCCGTCCCTTCGTATCCTTCCCCCCTCTGCCCCCCCCCACCAAAGTTGTAAAGTTCGTTTTTCGAGACATAAGGACTTGTACATCTCATTGTTGCAATGGGTCCTCCTGAGATACTTTGTTTTTAACATTTTTCAGATACTGCTTTGTTGTCCAGGCTATACAACAAAGAATACTCATGAGTCTTAAGGTATAATATTAATTTTCAGGTTTGAGAAAAGGAGAAAACAAAGCAATATATAAACATTGAAAATGTTACATGATCAGGTATTGTGGCAGTTGGTTCTATAGTGTTGTTTGGAGATACTTCAATTTTCTATACATGATCTTTTAGCCTAACCTGTAGATATTGTTATTTTAGTAAATTCTTAAGTGATAGTAGTTATTTCAGTTACTCTTTATCATTCTAAGATAAAATTATACTGTTTGAGCAATGTTATTTTTCCTGGCTCTGACTTATTTGGGGGGAGAAAGAATATTTAATACATAAAAGATTTTGGGGCATTTAGGAATCATGAAGATGCAAATAACATTTATTATATGCCATTATAAGGCCTAGTACTAAGATCAGATGAATATAAGAAGTTTGAAGCCTTTTCTTTGTTCTTTTCTCCTGGATTTTTGTTTTTGTTTTTGCGACAGGTCTCACTGCAGCCTGGTATTTGGGATCTGCTTGCCCCAGCTTCTTGAGTGCTGCAGTACAGGCCTATGCTACTCTTTTCCTGTGGTGTGATGATACCACATGCCTCATATATAAACTGATTCCTGAGGGGAGATATATCTTTGTAGTGAAACAGTGTAACATTCATGAAGTATCTAAAAATATTTCAGCCTTAGTTTCTGATTTTATATTATTTTATGTGCTTGAACTGGGACTCTAGGCCTCGTGTTCTTTCTTAGCTTTTTCACTCAGACTAGGTACTCTACCACTTGAGCCGCTCCTCTCCTTCTAGCTTGTTGGTGGCTAATTGGAAATAAGAGTCTACTGAGGCTGGCTTTGAATCACTGTCCTCAGATTTCAGTTTTCTGAGCAGCTAGAATTACATATTTGAGCCATTGGTGCCTGGCTTTTAATCAATGAAATGAAAATGATAACAAGCACAGAAGGTCTTCCATGAGAGTTAAATTAACTTGGGTAACACCTGTAAAGCTCTTGGTACAGAACCCAAAATAACAGATGTAGCATACATGATAGTAATTAATTTTGAAATTTCCCCCTTCATTTACAGGTGTTTATATCAATCTTTATTATTTGGAATGGTATTTATACACCATTTTAATTTTACTAATCATTTTAATTTTACAAAGAAAATAGAAGTTTCAAGGTTTTAAAAGTTGATTAATGAGCATCATTCAATTTTATTTGAATGCATTCTCTGCCTAAAACCAGCCTCATTCCAATAGAAGGATTTTAATAGGAAGGTATGTTATATAATAAATGATGCCTGTTTCTGGGTAACTATTTGTGTAATTGACAACAGGATTTAGCTCTGAATTCACCTCCGGTTTTCTCATGTATGTAAAGGAACAAAGTTGAAATGGTTTGATTTCATTAGTAGCAAAGTGATATTATTTTAAGTAACAAAGCTGATACTATTTAACTCATCAACAGGGAAGATGTTTGTTTGCCAGTGGCAGTCCATTTGGGCCAGTAAAACTCCAAGATGGAAGAGTCTTCACACCAGGCCAAGGGAACAATGTATATATTTTTCCAGGTAAATGCCCCCATTTTTTATGTTACAAGTCAGTAGTCAATTATATGAAAGTGCTTAATGGAATTTTTTGGCACTTAAGGTTCAAATGAGCCACAGTGTTCAAAGAATTTTATTATGACTATACAGGGAAACTCAATTTAGCAAATCAGCTTGTTCTTTTTTCTCAGGATATTCGTTCATAGCATTAACCAAACTTGTTTTTATTATAGAATTGAAATGGTATATGGTTCATTAAATGCAGAGGAACAGAATGGCATAAAATTGCTTACCCCTCTGTGTTTCCCTTACTACCTCCTTATCACAGTTCTCACAGGAAACTCCTGTCAGTGGTTTGCTCTGACTTTTTCTGGTCAGAAAAAAATCAGTCACATCCACTTAATTCCCTTTGTCCAGATTCTTCTAAATCCACCATACATAGGAACTTGCCTCTGAACTATAGGTCACAGTGCACACAGGCCTAAATTGCCTCTCTTCCCTGTCTGCTCACTTTGTCTTACTACTTTGAGCTCTCTAGACTCTACTTACTTTTATCTTTATATAACCTACTTAGAGATTATGATAGCAGTTTTTACAGTTTGCAAAATGCAAAATAAAATCTGTTGTTTAGCTTTCTTCTCATTGGTAGCTAATATTTTTTTGAGTCAAGAGTCTCACCCATCTTGGTTAGTCTCGGTTAGTTTCAAACTCCCAGTCTTCCTGCCTCCACCTCCCTATTGGTGGGGACAAAGGTTTTGACTTTGTGTTTTACTGTTTTTTTGTGCTTTGCCTATGGGATTGTGATTATTCAAAATCATGATTTATAAGAACAGAAAATTTCATAATAATACTAATCTAATCTCCAATTAGACTGTAATTTGATAAATATACTAACACATAATTCTGTATCACTAAGTTTCTGAGACTTAAACTCTTTCAAGTGTATGAAATGTAAGGAACTTTCATTTCTTGTCAGCTCTCTTCCTTTCTTACTGATTTTAGTCTGCAGCTAACTATTTCTTCTATCCCTTCTTCTCTCTTCTACATGGTAGACTAATCTACTCCATTCTCTGTCTTCTGTGAATGCAATGTGTATATTTTTGAACAAGCTTGAAAAACACAAACACTTTCTGAATTTCTACAAGTCTGAAAATAATGTTATTTTGTCCTCTGACTTGACAGTTTAAGTAGAGATTTGTAAAGTCACAGTCAGTGTCCTCAGACTCTTGGTGACTTTCCTTTGGTTTCACTTTTAGTTAAGTCCAGCAGAGATGATGGGAAACTAGCCAATAAGATTCTTCTTCCTTTACATGTCTAAGGGTTTTTCCTTTCCCATAATCTTTCTTTGTAAATTTCTAAAATCATTGTGGGATGCATCTAAGTTTGAGTTCATTGCCATTATCATACATGTCTATGACAGAATAATTTCATTATAGAAACATCTCTTCATCTTTTCCTATGGAATTTATGTCAAATCATGGTTGCATTGGGAGTTCTCTGCTACTGTATTGACATTATTTATTTATTTATTTATTTAGTGCTACTAGTGGGGTTTGAACTCAGGGCCTGGGCACCCTCCTTAGTTTTTTGCTTCAGGCTGGTACTCTACCATTTAGCCTAGCTCTACTTCTGGATTTTTTTCTGGTTAATTGGAGATAAATATCTCATGGATTTTCCTGCCCCAGGCTGGCTTCAAACTGAGATCCTCAGATGGCAGCCTCCTGAGTAGCCAGTATTATGGGGATGAGCCACAAGCACCCAGCTTGACTTTTAAATGTTAATTCACATTGTTGCCATGTCTTTTTTGTTCTGGGGGGCGGGGGATGGTAATGGGGCTTGAACTCCAGGCCCCAGCTCTTTTTCTGAAGGCTAGTGCTCTACCACTTTGAGCCACAGTGCCATTTAATTGGAGATACGAGTCTCACCAACTTTCTTGCCCAAGCTGGATTTGAACTGTGATCCTCAGATGTCAGCCTCCTGAGTAGCTAGGATTACAGGTATAAGCCACCAGTGGCTGGCTGCCTTGTCTAATCATTTTTATCTGATAATGTTAGAGACTTCTATGGCATTTCTTCCTTTCATCCATAGCTGTTCTTTTTTTTTTAAGTACTTCTAGTATTTGTAAATCAATAAGCTATTTAGCTTGTGAATATCCTTGTGCTTTTGTATATTGCCTTCTCCCTCTGTAGCTATGATTTTCTGTTGGCACCTGACATCTACAATAGAAACTCTTTCATCATCAATGATTTCTGTCTAGAAATGACAAAAGCAATCTGATTGTACTTAATAGGATTTCCATGGTATGAAGGTTGATTTTTAGCATGCCTTTTTGTGTCATGAAATCTGGCATCTTATTATTTCTATACAGTAGTTTTTAAATCCTAACTTTATTGAAATTACTAGCATTAACAAATACCAATATGAAAAGTCATCTGGTAGTGCAGCTAAAAATAGACCTACAAGTAGGAGATTTGGCTTTGGGTCTTTATATGAAGAAATTTAAGACCTCAGCTCTGATAATGTTGGAATTGCCCATCTAGTCACTGGTAACAACTGAATCAAGTGAAAAATAAGAACAACCTTTAAAAAGTCAAAAGGTTCCCGGCACTGGTGGCTCACACCTGTAATCCTTACTACCCAGGAGGCTGAGATCTGAGGATCATAGTTTGAACTCAGTCCAGGCAGGAATGTCCATGAGGCTCTTTTTTTTGTTGGGGGGGCCTGAACTCTGAGCCTGGGCCTGAGCGCTGTCCCTCAGCTCTTCAACTCAAGGCTAGCACTCTACCACTTGAGCCATAGAGCCACTTCCGGCTTTTTTCTTTTTGCTTATATAGTGCTGAGGAATTGAATCCAGGGCCTCAGGCATGCAAGGCAAGCACTCTACCACTGAGCCACCTTCCCAGACCCCCCATGAGACTCTTATCTCCAGTTAATCACCAGAAAGTTACAGGTGGAGCTGTGGCTCCAAATGGTAGAGTGGTAAGCTTGAGCAACAAAGCTTAAGGATGGCACCCAGTCTGAGTTCAAACCCCAGGACTGATGGAAGGAAGGAAGCCAATTATAAGTTGACTCTTAATAAAAGATTAGGGAAGGACTTGTGTCCTGAAATTTTACAATTGATAGAGAATGACTTGTTGACTTGCATAATGTCTCCTAGCTTAGAACACATGCCCGCTTGCTGTTTAGAGTGAATTGAAGAAAAAGGATTAGGGAGAGAACTCTAGTTAAGCGAGCCAGCATTTGAAGCAGTTTTGTATTACATATTCATTGATTAGGAAGTTAAGTGGCCAAGAGGCAAAACTATTGTCATGGAAGAGGAACAATACTGGCACCTCATTCAAATCTGACACCTGTCAAGATTCTGGAGAACATTCTCCCAACCTTGGCTGAAAGCCTACAAAACAGCACTTTGAGCTGGACGCTGGTGGCTCAAGCCTGTAATCCTAGCTACTCAGGAGGCTGAGATCTGAGGATTGCGGTTCAAAGCCAGCCCAGGCAGTAAAGTCCGTGAGACTCTTATTTCCAGTAAACCACTCAAAAAACCAGAAGTGGCGATGTGGCTCAAGTGGTAGAGCGCTCACCTTGAGCTGAAGAGCTGAGGGACAGCACCCAGGCCCAGAGTTCAAGTCCCACGACTGACCAAAAACAAAACAAAAACCCAGCACTTTGGAATGCAGGTGTGCTTGACAGCAACAGAGGCTCATCCAGAAAACCCAAAGCTTCTGGATTGCCAGTGCCCAGCAGAAACCAACAAAAATCTCTGAAACACACTATCTTAGTCCTTGAACCATTTGTATTAATAAAGTTGCAGAGTTTTGAATTCCCATTTCCTGCATAGGGAACAGGAAATGCTTCTCTTGTATTTCTCTTTACTTTTAACCCTGTTATCCTAAATTAAATCTATTCTAAATTTTTAAAAAAAAGAAATCTGCAAATACAACCCCTGTTAAAACTAAAAGACAAAATAAGTCATTTGAAGAGACATGACAACATAAGCCAAACCCAGTAGGAACCACAATAAAAACAACTGTGTTGAAACTTTACATCTAAGTGCTATAAAACAACTATCTTTATTGTGTTCATGTCAATAAAAGCCAAACTTGAAAACTTCAGTTAAAAGTCAAAAATGGCCAGCTGTGGTGGCACATGCTTGTTATCAATAAGGAAGATGAGTTCCAGACCACCCTGGGTTAAGAAAAAAAAAGTCACAGTTGTAGAATTGAAAAAGAATACTAATATAGATCAAGAATTGAGTGACTGAGGTTTATAGCAGATTGGATCAAAGAGAATCAAGTGGAGGAGGTTATGTCAGAAAAAAAACGAAGGCAGAATGAAAAAGATAAAAAGGGAAGTACAGAAAAACAGATAAGAATACATCTTTAATTGTATTTTTAATTAAAATTGTAGAAGAAAGTGACAGTGAGTCAAAAACAATGCATACCTCCTAGCTGAGAGTATGTCAGAATTGATAAATGATCGTAGCTATCCAAGAAACTTACAGAAACCTCTGCAAGCAATCAACACTTCTGAATCTCATTGTGAGGCTTAGAAAAATCATAGCGTGAGCTCCCAGAGCAGGAGCATTTCCTCCAAAGGGGCAGCTGTGAGATGGACATTCTCCCCTACAGCAGTAAGCTGCCAAAAGGCGGTGGGATGGTTGTTGTGGCTTGCTTACAGGAAATACATGCCAGCCCAGAATTCATTGCTCAGTGACAGCATTTCTCAAAAATTAAGGCAAATTGAAGACATATTCAGAAAAATAAAAAACAGAATTCACCACCTCCAGACTTATGAAAGGCAAAGAAATCATGTTACTTAGGCAGAAAGAATATCATCCCAGATAGAAGCTCTGAGATATAAGAAGTCATGAACACAGGAACTTGAGAATGTGTGGCAAATCAGAACCCATGTGGTTTACAGAGAACAGAACAGTGATGAGGTAGTTTTTTTTAAAAACGTAGAGATTAAATGCACAACAAAGCTTTTTCCATTATGTAGAATTAAACTATTATGAGAGGGTGTGTGAACTAGCAGGAAAACATGAAAAACTAATGAATGGTGTTAGGTACTCATGGCTCATGCCTATAATCTCAGTTACTCAAGAGGAAATTAGATTGGAAGGACCCACCACTGAGTATCAAATATAGTTGAAATGCACCTCAAGGAACGGTACTATGAAATCCTGGAACATCAGATACAAAAGTCAAGCTACATACTTGTAGGTGTAAAAACAAAGCACAGTTGTCTGATGAGGCTTTAGGCTCAGATGAACATTGGATTTGTCACTAGCACTGGACGCTAGGTACCACCTCAAAGTCCTGCAGGAAATTTTCAAACCAGAGTTCCAAACCCAGAATATGGACTAAGTAGAAAGATGTAAATAGACATACCAGAAAGGCAAGGTTTCAAATAATACATCTCCCACAAGCAGATTTTTAGACAAACACCAAAGAACCTGCCCTGCCAGAGAGTTAACAAAACACTGAGAGGAAGAAGGGGAATTAGGAAATGATTCTGAAGGAAACAGTTCCCATGCTGCTAAAAGAGTTTCCAAAATGACAGTCCCCAGTTGGAATGGAGGATCACCTGACCAAATTGGAGCTCTAACAGAAGAGGGAACACCAGCTAGCCAAGATAGAAGATGGTTTAGAAAACTGAAGAATGAAATAAAATGCTAAGCACAAAAAAAGTCAAAGTAAATGGAGTAAGAGGGCAATAATTAACGTCAGGGGAAACAAGTTTTGAAAAAGAAGGCAATAATCATGATACAATGTTAACACATGGCTCAGCTGTGAATCACATATGAGATCATAATATAAACATTGAACAGAGACTGAACCTATTGTATCGGGAAGAAAGAGAAGGCTGGAAATAGGAAAGAAAACTAAATATCACAAAAAAGAGTGATGATCTCTAGCCCCCACCTCCAACCCCCCAATATAACCAAATTAAATGTGAGAAATATTAAAAATAATAAGCTAAAAGAATTTAAAGTAGTCGCCTCTATTGAACAAGTAATGGAGGGTTAGGGATAGTCTGTGGAAACTTGTGGGGGGGGGTTTTCATACACATACACACAAACTAAAGTTATTTCTTTAGTGGATAAGAATTGTAAGTTAATACAGATAATTTAATGTGAATTTAACTCAGATTATGTTTTCTTCTGAGATTGTGATTTGGTGAATAGGCATTTATTTGCTGTAATAGTAGTTTGGCACCATTTGTAATTTTTTTCTTCTAAGATCTCTTTTTTAAAGAAATATTTGTATTGTTATTATGAAGGTGATGTGCAGAGGGGTTACTGTTTCATAATTCAGGTAATGAGTACATTTCTTTTTTAGATAGTATCACCCCTTCCTTAGCTTTCTCCCAGTTTTTTCCTCCCTTCCTACCTACAAGTTACATAGTTCATTTTCACCCTAGTGTCCAAGGAATACCACTGCTACCTTTCTGCATTTGTAAAGTAGCTTTACCTAATTTCTTAAAATGTGTTCCAGGTGTGGCTTTAGCTGTTATTCTCTGTGAAACCCGACATATCAGTGACAGTGTTTTCTTAGAAGCTGCAAAGGTAAATGTTTCAAATATTGTTTATTTTGTAAAGGATGAATTACAAAGATGAATGGATCTTCAAAGCAGAGAGAATAGGTTAGATTTGCTTTATTAATGGAAAGGAAGTTAACTGTCTATTACTGTGTCTATGTTTACAGATGTTTATAAACTGTGAATCCTTTTGTATTCACAGCATTTAGACTGTATCTGTATTTTATAGACATCCATATCTGCCTGTGTTGGTGCGTACATGTGTACATACACATGTATATGACGGTAGCATTGTGATTACACAAGTAAACTAGAATTCTTTCTCTGTATTTAATGGGCAATACTGAAGTTTGGAGTACTGACCTCAGACTTCACAATAGGAATTCTGAAACATTCCAGTTAATACTAATACTAATGTCTGTTTTCTTATTGGCTGTTGGTATTATGCCAGGCTCTGTGGGTACCAAGCAGAATGTATCAGTAAGCCTTTAAATTTCTTTATTGTTTAGTGGTGAATAATTCTAATTCCTGTAGTGGTCCAGTATATTCCTGTAAGAAACGAGCATTTAATTATCTCTTTTTCTCTAATTTTTAAAATTTTTCAGTTAAACACTAATAAAATTCTGTTTTCTCTTCAGGCACTGACAAGTCAATTAACAGATGAAGAGCTAGCCCAGGGGAGACTTTACCCACCACTTGGTAATATTCAGGAAGTTTCTGTTAACATTGCTATTAAAGTAAGTGACTTATATGTCTTCACATATATGTTAATAGCATCTTCTTTCACAAATAATACGAGTCATTAGAAATAAATTTGAAACATTTCAAAGTGTACAGAGAATGGCTAGCTTCACTCTTTTCTTGTTTGTTATCACATGCAGTCACTTGTGCCTAGTTTTGCAATGCATTTAAACACTAACTGAACTTTTCCATTTAATAATAAACTTTCCTATGTCAGTCAGTAATTATTTTCATATCTGGCCATTAGTGCTTCATTTATATTATAGTTTATTGTAATTATTTCTCTGGGGTTTTTTTGTTTTGTTTTGTTTTGTTTGTTGGTGGGATATGGGGCTTGAACTCAGGGCCTGGGCACTATCCCTGAGCTCTTTGCTCAAGGCTAGCACTCTTACCACAGCTCCACTTCAGTTTTTGTTTGTTTGTTTGTTTTTAATTTATTTATTTTTTTTTTATTTGTGAACATACTGTACAGAGGGGTTACAATTACATGGGCAGGATAATGCGTACATTTCTTACCAAGCATTGCAGCCTCCTCCTTTGGTTTACC